AATTTTCTTCTTGCTGCAGCTAACACATGACAACATGATGTACAAGGATTTCAACCATTGTGGAATTGGGATGCTTTCGTCCTTGTGATATAAGTTTAGATTAAGGATCGCGGTTGTGACAATGAATGAACTGATGATCATATCAATCATTAGTTTAATGGAGATGACCGGCACGGGTTCGGAGCTTCTCGGTAACATATCACTAACGATGGTCATAAACACTGCTATTGCAAGTAAAACTGTTATGCAATATGAAACACGCTCTCCAGATTCTGGAATAAGGAGAAAAACTAAAACGTTCAACAAACTCAGAAAAAGTATTGGTAAAACCATATTTATAATAACAAAGGAAGGTTTTCTATTAAGATGGAGTATCAAATCGAGTTGACTCCCTTCTCCAACAACGGAAATGGACACTTTTGACTTTTTGATTGACCAAATGGAGTTTTCTTGGTAAACATCAAACTTAAATTCATTTAAAGCAGCAATAAGTCGCACTTCATATTCAAAATAGCCTAGAGTGTTAAAGGATGTTGTACATGTTTGTGTATCAAAAGGATAATTCCTTACGTTAACAGAACACGTGCTCTCAATTAAATCAATGGGAAGCCAAACAGCTATTCCATTATAATAAAAGCGTATTCTATTCCATTTTTGACCGAGGCTGTTAACGTCATCAGATGGACTTGATAAAACCAATTCTGGTACCCATACATTCGGATAGAGCACCGAGATCTCATAAACACCGCCGTATTGGGCCGGGTCCCACATCATATTTACGTCGTGCCACATGAACAACAACGCTCCAATAAACGAAAATTTACCCTGAACTTCATCAAATTCCTGGATACTTTTAATGTAGGCTTCAATCGACACGTTCACTGCCAGGCTTTGGTTAGCAATAGGACGTACATTGATGTTATAATCCGAAAGAAGGTCGGATGTCAGCGTCTTTGTGTCATTAATCGTTCCACACTTCACTGAGTAATTTGACAAAACTATCATACACAAAACCATACAAATCATTTTACCGTTCTTTTCCATGACTTATAATTGTTCTACATCTTTATATAATACTTCCTCCTTGCGTAAATGTTTTACGCTTCAAGTGTCCCTTACAATTAAGTTCATTAATATAAATATTTATAATTGTTTTAATATCAACTTATTTAACAGGAGTACGGTTTAGACGTCATGAGATAATTCCACCATTTCAGATTTTACTTTGAAATAAAATTCCGTTCAAACTTTCCGGAGAAAATAACTTAAATGATTCTATAATTGTTTAACTATTGACCATGGTAAATAATTATTAACTTAATTGATTTCTTGTCTCGCTAATCAGTCTATAATTATAGGTCTCTTTTTACAGAAGTAAAATTTTACGTTCTAATCTTGTTTCTGTCAATAATGAGGTAGAACGTTTGAATAGAATGATAACTGACTTGATATCAGGACTTATTTTACATCAGTCGTTTTTTTTACTCTAGAGATCATAATTATATACAGGACATTTATTCCATTGATTGAATCATGAGCTTTGTCTGTAACTGAAACAAGTTTTCTAGTTTGCATTGATGAATTATTGCATGTAATTAATGGTTATTTCTGTGACTATAAATGATAGTTCATTGCGATAGTTACACTGAATTAATACACTAGTACGTTGTTTAGAACCGAGGAGTAGATATTGATAGTGTATAATGACGATTTGTCTAGAATGGGAACATTATTGTAAAAAATGAAATAGAAATAGCAAGATAGTATTAAGTGAAAATAGTATTAAATAAAGATTAAGAATAGAATAGAAACGTCCTCAGATGCGTTCTTACAATTAATTAATACATCTTCAATTGAATTTTTTAAGCTTTTCTTTTATTTATTCTGTGAGTTTGTACATTTGCATATATATCCAATTTACCAATCCGGTCAGAAGCACGTTGAGTGGCGGCATTGCCGAGTGGTTAACGCTTCGACTAATGATATATTGATCGCTAGCCGCATGAGTTCAAACCCCGTCAGGGGCAAGTCGTTGTTCCTTGAGCAAGAAACTTTGTACACTCATTGCTCAGAACTGGTTGGTTCCAGGAACGGATTCGAAAGTGTGTCTATAAGCTTATAGTTCCTACACAATCAAACTAAAATAAATTCTGTATAAACCAAAATTAGAAAATGAATGTACAAACTTCGCGTCGTTACTAATAAACTAGCAGGCATAGACATTGCATGTCTTAAGTATACTAGTAAATGAATAATCAGCAGTATTTGTATCATTATTTTAAGTTGTTATTGTTGTTGTTTTTTTGTTGTTTTTGTTTGTTTGTTTGCTTGTTTGTTTTTTGTTGTTGTTTTTTTCTCTCTCATAGAAAACTGTTTTGAAGTTGCAGGTCTACCAATATGCGTAACGCTTTTATGAATATACATGAAGTTACTGATTTAAATCAATAAGTTGCAAAATGTGCTTATTAACACTTCTCTAGCTTCGTTGTCCCTCCAAATGTTAGTCTTGTCTGCTGGATCTGGTCAGACTGCAAGAATATTAATCACCGCTAGCATATTCATAGAGCAAATATCCTTTTCCTAACATATAATAATACAAATTAACTTTAAATCAATAAAGGATACTTTGTTCGTAGTTAATTTTACTGATAAATGTAACCTTGGGCAAATATTTAACTTTGAGACAAACATGTTTTTAATTGAACAGAAATAATTACATGGTCAATAGACCTTTCAATTTCCAATAATGCTGTTCATAATGGATAACTAACAAACGAGATCGAACTTGGAATACGAGTAGATGATTAAGACTGACATGAAAAACGCATTGATGCTTTGAATGAAAATGAGTTTGGTATTTTAGAAGATCATATTGCAATCGTTTTGTTTACATTTAAAGCATGTAAGGTTACTGGATGAATTACATTTTAACGTTATAAATTTTTTATTGTATTCTAAAGTTGACAGGTCCAACATCTTGTAAGAGATTTTTTTTGTCCCTAAAAAAGCCGTTATCACATCAGCAAAAAATCTTTAAAAATGTCATAATCGGTAAACCTAATACATTTGGTTAGTCCGTTAGTCGATTAACTATCTTTGTTTTTCTCTTCTTGTTTTTCTTTTTTGTCTATTTCTTTTTTGTTAATTATAAAGATATCTCCAGTTACATAAATTTATCATGACAAAATAGCTGTTTTGTTTTGTTGGACTGTCAGTCTGTCATTCTGTATGTCTCTCTGTCTGTCTGTCGGTTTTATTTTAAGCGGATTACATTACATCTGTGCGGTCGGTCCTACTAACCGATTTTCCTGGAACTCTAACCAGTATTTACCAATTTCTCTGCATGTAGCTACTATATAATCTCACCTGATTTCTGATCCAGTGGTACGAACAAATGGCCATAAGACTCATTGTCCGAGATCTACTGCCATCGAAACGTTTGCCTCGTCCGAAGAACGAACTATATACAAGCCGTCAGACTATTATTATAACAGTACAGTACACCTAAGAAAAACATTAAACAAATTGTAACTAAATTTGCTCATTGAAGGAAAATGTGAAAGGTCAATCCATATTTTTCTTTTCTGGATATTAATGAAATGGGTTTTGATATTCTAAATATTGAAAAGAATTAAAAGTATATATATGAATAGTTTCAATGCAACTTAAAATCTAAAAGCAATGTATATATAAGATGTTAGAATACATAATTTGACCTCAGTTGTCATACACTGTCGTGTATCTGTCTCATGTCATCACAATTATGTTTTATTATGTTTTTCTCATGGAAATTAAATCTACAGCTATTACAAATCGCGGTTTCATATTACCTTTAATATTCAATTCAATTCAAATTCATTTCAAATAGTTTATTTACGTCTCATCACGTGTACAGCACATATATCACAATCACAATGAATAAAACTGGTAAAAGTACATAATGCCATTCAATATAGAATTATATGAGACGTGTAAGTAAAGCTTACATCTATATAGGTAATATGTTTGCAAAGCTAAATTGCCTTTAATGTTATTAAAGACTGCATTTATTATACTACCTAAATTTAATAGTCCAAAATCAATTCTAGTTACAGTATATGTCAACTACCATTAATTACAAAATTTATACAATTTCTATGATATGTAGATGATGGTAAAATGTCACTGCTGCATTCGTCATCGTAATTTTCCTGTTCCTTGAGTAACACCATTAAATACTATTCACATTAAAACAATAAAGAAATTATTACAACTTCCATTTATCCAAGAGTTTTCTAGAATATGTATGAATATTTTGAAGTTCTAAAGTACTTAAGCATTCCCTGTCATCCCATTAAGCCTAATATAAACGCTATCTTTTTTTCAGGAATATTTGTTTCCTGTAACAGTTTCCAAAAATTTACATATTGGTATGCATGAGTCATTTTATATTATGATTCGTTTGCGTTTCGCACTTAGTACAGTAATAGTGATTAAGAATCAATATTGAATTCAAAATGCCACTGTGTCAACGTCACAAATTGTTTCACATTAAATGCTATTTTCTTCAAGTAATATGTTTTTCCTTTCCTATGGAAGGAAAAAACACAATTCATTGATGACGCTTAATTTACATTCATAAACAACACAATAAATGTAAATAAGATGTATAAATATGGAAAAAGCAAGTTAACAACGCTTAATGAATGCAATTTTCACACATAAAGCGCAGAATAAGCAGTACGTCACTAATAGGGGAAACAGATTGTTCTTTGCAGTATGATCACTTGTCAAGGGTTAACTAACAATGGATATAACAAAAGAAAAACATATTTTCTGAATTGAGAAGGTTCATTTTAAGTGACACATTTCCTGTCAGTTTTAACTGTTATCTCCTTTATTTGCAACGAACATGATAATGTTCGTCTAACGGTCAATTCCCAACTGAGAACAGTAAATATCATCTTGCACGACAATGTATTATGTACATGTCTCAAATAAAACGTCTGTTCTGTTCATTTCTAATCTTCACTAGAGCTTACGGCAGTTATAGCCAAGAAAATTACAAAACTCGCCACAGAAACTGCAGTATAGCTTATCAAAGCCACCTTGTCCATCATTATACTCAATTTTTTCCATGTTATTTTGTTGTCTTCATCATGTTCTTCTACAAGTCGACCTATCTTGCTCTCTATCGGTTCATTCTTATTTTCAACAACGTTAATTGTCTTCACCTTTGTACTGGTTTTTGAACTGATTTGCTTCATTTCATGGAAATGTGGATCAATTTTCTTCTTGCTGCAGCTAACACATGACAACATTATGTACAAGGATTTCAACCATTGTGGAATCGGGATGCTTTCGTCCTTGTGATATAAGTTTAGATTAAGGATCGCGGTTGTGACAATGAATGAACTGATGATCATATCAATCATTAGTTTTATGGAGATGACCGGCACGGGTTCGGAGCTTCTCGGTAACATATCACTAACGATGGTCATAAACACTGCTATTGCAAGTAAAACTGTTATGCAATATGAAACACGCTCTCCAGATTCTGGAATAAGGAGAAAAACTAAAACGTTCAACAAACTCAGAAAAAGTATTGGTAAAACCATATTTATAATAACAAAGGAAGGTTTTCTATTAAGATGGAGTATCAAATCGAGTTGACTCCCTTCTCCAACAACGGAAATGGACACTTTTGACTTTTTGATTGACCAAATGGAGTTTTCTTGGTAAACATCAAACTTAAATTCATTTAAAGCAGCAATAAGACGCACTTCATATTCAAAATAGCCTAGAGTGTTAAAGGATGTCGTACATGTTTGTGTATCAAAAGGATAATTCCTTACGTTAACAGAACACGTGCTCTCAATTAAATCAATGGGAAGCCAAACAGCTATTCCATTACTATAAAAGCGTATCCTGTTCCATTTTTGGCCGAGGCTGTTAACGTCATCAGAAGGGCTTGATAAAACCAATTCTGGTACCCATACATTCGGATAGAGCACCGAGATCTCATAAACACCGCCGTATTGGGCCGGGTCCCACATCATATTAACGTCGTGCTACATGAACAACAACGCTCCAATAAACGAAAATTTACCCTGAACTTCATCAAATTCCTGGATACTTTTAATGTAGGCTTCAATCGACACGTTCACTGCCAGACTCTGGTTAGCAATAGGACGTACATTGATGTTATAATCCGAAAGAAGGTCGGATGTCAGCGTCTTTGTGTCATTAATCGTTCCACAATTTACTGTGTAATTTGACAAAACTATCATACACAAAACCATACAAATTATTTTACTGTTCTTTTCCATGGCTTAAAATTGGTCTACTACTTTACAGAATACTTCCATGCGTAAATGTTTTTCACTTTAAATGTCCCTTACCATTAAGTTCATAAATATTTATAATTGTTCTGATAATAGGAGTACGGTTTAGAAGTCACGAGATAATTCCACCATTTCAGATTTTACTTTGAAATAAAATTCCGTGCAAACTTTCCGGAGAAAATAACTTAAATGAGTCTATAATTGTTTAACTATTGACCATGGCAAATAATTATTAACTTAATTGATTTCTTGTCTCGCTAATCAATCTATAATTATAGGTCTCCTTGTACAAAAGTAATAGTTAACGTTCTAATCTTGTTTCTATCAATAATGAGGTGGAACGTTTGAATAGAATGATAACTGACTGAATATTAGGACTTATTTCATATCAGTCGTTTTTTACTCTAGAGATCATAATTATATACAGGACATTTATTTCATTGATTGAATCATGAGCTTTTTCTATAATTGAAACAACTTTTCTAGTGTGTATTGATGAATTCATTGCATGTAATTAATGGTTATTTCTGTGGCTATAAATGATAGTTCATTGCGATAGTTACACTGAATTAATACACTAGTACGTTGCTAAGAACCGAGCAGCAGATATTGATAGTGTATAATGATGATTTGTCTAGAATGGGTACATTAATGTAAAATATGAAATAGAAATAGCAAGATAGTATTAGGTGAAAATAGTTTTAAATAAAGATTAAAAATAGGATTGAAACGTCCTCAGATGCGTTCTTAAAATTAATAATACATCTTCAATTGAAATTTTTATGCTTTTCCTTTATTTATTCTGTGAGTTTATACATTTGCATATATATCCAATTTACCAATCCGGTCAAAATCACGTTGAGTGGCGGCATGGCCGAGTGGTTAACGCTTCGGACTAGTAATCTATTGATCGCTAGCCGCATGGGTTCAAACCCCGTCAGGGGCAAGTCGTTGTTCCTTGAGCAAGAAACTTTACACTCATTGCTCAGTACAGGTTGGTTCCAGGAACGGATTCGAAAGTGTGTCTATAAGCTTATAGCTTCCTACACAGTCGAACTAAAATAAATTCTGTTTAAACCAAAATCACGTTTCCTCTAGCAGAAAATGAATGTACAAACTTCGCGTCGTTACTAATAAACTAGGCACACAAAATCAGCAGTATTTGTATCATTATTTTACGTTGTTATTGTTGTTGTTTTTTGTGGGGATTGTTTGTGGGTTTTTTTTGTGTTTTTGTTGGTTTTTTTCTCTCTCATAGAAAACTGTTTTGAAGTTGCAGGTCTACCAATATGCGTATATACATGTAGTTACTGATTTAAGTCAATAAGTTGCAAAATGTGCTTATTTACACTTCTCCAGCTTCGTTGTCCCTCCAAATGTTAGTCTTGTCTGCTGGATCTAGTCAGACTGCAATAATATTAATCACCGCTAGCATATTCATAGAGCAAATATCCTTTTCCTAACATATAATAAATACAAATTAACTTTAAATCAATAAATTTGCTATAGGATACTTTGTTCGATGTTAATTTTAATGATAAATGTAACCTTGGGCAAATATTTAACTTTGAGACAAACATGTTTTTAATTGAACAGAAATAATTACATGGTCAATAGACCTTTCACTTTCCAATAAACTGTTCAGAATGAATAACTAACAAACAAGATCGAACTTGGAATACGAGTAGATGATTAAGACTGACATGAAAAACGCATTGATGATTTGAATGAAAATGAGTTTGGTATTTTAGAAGATCATTTTGCAATCGTTTTGTTTACATTTAAAGCATGTAAGGTTACTGGATGAATTACATTATAACGTTATAAATTTTTGATTGTATTCTAAAGTTGACAGGTCCCGACATCTTACAAGAGCAAACAGATTTTTTTGTCCCTAAAAAATCCCTTATCACATCAAAAAAAATGTCATAATCGGTAAACCTGCTAGATTTGGTTAGTCCGTTAGTATTAATTTCATAATTTAATCGATTAACTATCTTTTTTCCCCTTTTTTGGTTTGTTTTACTCTTCTTGTTTTTCTTTTTTTGTCTATTTCTTTCTTGGTAATTAAAAAAATAACTCCAGTTACATAAATTTATCATGACAAAATAACTGTTTTGTTTTGTTGGACTGTCAGTCTGTCTGTCTGTCTGTATGTCTCTCTGTCTGTCTCATTTTAAGCGATTTACAATACATCTGTGCGGTCGGTCCTACTAACCGATTTTCCTGGAACTCTAACCAGTATTTACCAATTTCTCTGCATGTAGCTACTATATGATCTCACCTGATTTCTGATCCAGTGGTACGAACAAATGGCCATAAGACTCATTGTCCGAGATCAACTGCCATCGAAACGTTTGCCTCGTCCGATGTACGAACTATTTACAAGCCGTCAGACTATTATTATAACAGTACAGTACACCTAAGAAAAACATTAAACAAATTTTAACTAAATTTGTTCATTGAAGGAAAATGTAAAAGGTCAATCCATATTTTTCTTTCCCGGAAATTAATGAAATAGGTTTTGACTTTAGATCCATACTTTTTAAAAAAATAAATTTAGTGATTTGAAAAGCGAGAAAAGCTGGAAGAAGTTGTTAAATTAGTTTAAACATAATACGAAACAACTTCTTGTCACTTATGTTAATCACTTTCAAGTCTGCTTCCTGAAACAAACAAGTATTGGTGTCATGTGAAGAAACATGGTCGTGGCCTGATCGCTAGCTCGAATCCATGATCCCAGGATTAAGGGGCAATAACCTGAACAACTAGGCCACCGCTCCGATTGAGTGGTTAAATGCCTTCATTGCTTGAAAAGGAACATCAATTTAAATGACAATATATGACAAATATACAGAAATAATCACACATTAAGAATACAATTCAAGCAATAATACAATTAACTTATCGATTTGTATTGCTAATTATAAAACGAGTAGCTTTTTTTCTGAATTGACATGTTCACTGTCACCTTATTTAATTGATTATATATATTTCATAATAAGCAAACAATGTTACATTTTAAATGGTCGACATAATTCCATAATTATATAGAAACACTGTTTTCAAATAAAAATGATTATATTTTGTTGGTTTCATACATATGTAATGGTATAATTGGTTTATTAATTTGCTAAATTTCTACAATGCATTTACTCTGCTTTAAATTTCAATCAGCTCATCCAAAGCATTTGGGAATACAATATCAAAACACAACAAATATAAGCTTCTTACGGCTAAAATACCTAAGGCTATATGTTAATCTCTTTTATTTCCAGCATTTAATGGTTAACATTATGATATTAAACATAAGCTAAAACAAAACACCGAATTCTTAATTTCGTCTTTTTTTGTTGTTTTTTGTTGTTTTTCTTTTGTTGTTGTTGTAATAAAACAGTCATTTTGTTTAATTACGCTATTTTACCTTATTCCTAATATTGTGTCTATTCATACTTCAGTTTTAATTTTGTTACATTACAAACATTAAGACGAATGTCAAGTTTAAAAATCTATTTCAGATTTTATCAACATATGTATACGTATGTACATGTTATATGTATTTCATTATTATATGTTCTTTTGATAATACTATAACTTTTAAGCGTCGCATTGATATAAAAATGTCATTTCAATTCACTCAGGAGGCACTTAACAATATCGACCAATTGCTTTTCATTGCTACTAGTCTGGTACCAATTAGTCAAGTGTTAAATGTGTCCCAAACGAGGCTTAGGAGAATAGTTCTACCACCGACAAATCGGTATTATGAGGTACAATCAAAATATCAGTCATGTGTCAAACTAGAAAATGATATTATTACTGTAATTATCATCATCATCATCATCATCAATAGTTCGTGTGTTGACAAGCCGAGATATTCTAAATATTGAAAAGAATTAAAAGAATATAGCATATGAATAGTTTCAATGCCACTTAAAATCTAAAAGCATTGTTTATGTAAGATGTTAGAATACATAATTTGACCTCAGTTGTCACGCACTGTCGTGTATCTGTCTCATTTTATCACAATTATGTTTTTCTCATGGAAATTAAATCTACAGCTATTACAAATCGCAGTATCATATTACCTTTAATATTCAATTCAATTCAAATTCAATTCAAATTCAATTCAAATTCAATTCAAATAGTTTATTTACGTTTCATCACGTGTACAGCACATATATCACAATCACAATGAATAAAACTGGTAAAAGTACATAATGCCATTCAATATAGAATTATATGAGACGTGTAAGTAAAGCTTACAGCTATAGGTGATATGTTTGCAAAGCTAAATTGCCTTTAATGTTATTAAAGACTGCATTTATTATACTACCTAAATGCAATAGTCCAAAATCAATTCTAGTTACAGTATATGTCAACCACCATTAATTGCAAAATTTATACAATTTCTATGATATGTAGATGATGGTAAAATGTCACTGCTGCATTCGTCATCGTTATTTTCCTGTTGTTTGAGAAACACCATTTAAAATACTATTCACTTCAAAACAATAAAGAAATGATTACAACTTCCATTTATCCAAGAGTTTTTGTAGAATATGTATGAATATTTTGAAGTTCTAAAGTACTAAAGCATTCCATGTCGTCCCATTATGCCTAATATAAACGCTATCTTTTTTTCAGGAATATTTGTTTCCTGTAACAGTTTCCAAAAATTTACATATTGGTATGCATGAGTCATTTTATATTATGATTCGTTTGCGTTTGGCACTTAGTACAGTAATAGTGATTTAGAATCAATATTGAATTCAAAATGCAATTGTGTCAACGTCACAAATTGTTTCACATTAAATGCTATTTTCTTCAAGTAATATGTTTTTCCTTTCCTATGGAAGGAAAAAAAAAACAATTCATTGATGACGCTTAATTTACATTCATAAGCAACACAATAAATGTAAATAAGATGTATAAATATGGAAAAAGCGAGTTTACAACGCTTAATGAATGCAATTTTCACACATAAAGGGCAGAATAAGCAGTACGTGGTCACTAATAGGGGAAACAGACTGTTCTTTGCAGTATGATCACTTGTCAAGGGCTAACTTACAATGGATATAACAAAAGAAAAACATATTTTCTGAATTGAGAAGGTTCATTTTAAGTAACACATTTCCTGTCAGTTTTAACTGTTATCTCCTTTTTTTGCAACGAACATGATAATGTTCGTCTAACGGTCAATTCACAACTGAGAACAGTAAATACCATCTTGCACGACAATGTATTATGTACAAGTCTCAAATAAAACGTCTGTTCTGTTCATTTCTAATTTTCACTAGAGCTTACGGCAGTTATAGCCAAGAAAATTACAAAACTCGCCACAGAAACTGCAGTATAGCTTATCAAAGCCACCTTGTCCATCATTATACTCAATTTTTTCCATGTTATTTTGTTGTCTTCATCATGTTCTTCTACAAGTCGACCTATCTTGCTCTCTATCGGTTCATTCTTATATTCAACAACGTTAATTGTCTTCACCTTTGTACTGGTTTTTGAACTGATTTGCTTCATTTCCTGGAAATGTGGATCAATTTTCTTCTTGCTGCAGCTAACACATGACAACATAATGTACAAGGATTTCAACCATTGTGGAATCGGGATGCTTTCGTCTCTGTGATACAAGTTTAGATTAAGTATCGCAGTAAAAACAATGAATGAACTGATGATCATATCAATCATTAGTTTAATGGAGATGACCGGCACGGGTTCAGAACTTCTCGGTAACATATCACTAACGATGGTCATAAACACTGCTATTGCAAGTAAAACTGTTATGCAATATGAAACACGCTCTCCAGATTCTGGAATTAGGAGAAAAACTAAAACGTTCAACAAACTCAGAAAAAGTATTGGTAAAACCATATTTATGATAACAAAGGAAGGTTTTCTATTAAGATGGAGTATCAAGTCGAGTTGACTCCCTTCTCCAACAACGGAAATGGACACTTTTGACTTTTTGATTGACCAAATGGAGTTTTCTTGGTAAACATCAAACTTAAATTCATTTAAAGCAGCAATAAGTCGCACTTCATATTCAAGATAGCCTAGAGTGTTAAAGGATGTTGTACATGTTTGTGTATCAAAAGGATAATTCCTTACGTTAACAGAACACGTGCTCTCAATTAAATCAATGGGAAGCCAAACAGCTATTCCATTATAATAAAAGCGTATTCTATTCCATTTTTGACCGAGGCTGTTAACGTCATCAGATGGACTTGATAAAACTAATTCTGGTACCCATACATTCGGATAGAGTACCGAGATCTCATAAACACCGCCGTATTGGGCCGGGTCCCACATCATATTTACGTCGTGCCACATGAACAACAACGCTCCAATAAACGAAAATTTACCCTGAACTTCATCAAATTCCTGGATACTTTTAATGTAGGCTTCAATCGACACGTTCACTGCCAGGCTTTGGTTAGCAATAGGACGTACATTGATGTTATAATCCGAAAGAAGGTCGGATGTCAGCGTCTTTGTGTCATTAATCGTTCCACACTTCACTGAGTAATTTGACAAAACTATCATACACAAAACCATACAAATCATTTTACCGTTCTTTTCCATGGCTTATAATTGTTCTACTACTTTACAGAATACTTCCATGTGTAAATGTTTTACACTTTAAGTGTCCCTTACAATTAAGTTCATAAATATTTATAATTGTTTTGATATATCAACTTATTTAACAGGAGTACGGTTAAGGCGGTACTAGATAATTCCACCATTTCATAATTTACTTTGAAATAAAATTCCGTGCAAACTTTCCGGAGAAAATAACTAAAATGATTCCTTAATTGTTTAATTATTGACCATGGTAAATAATTATTAACTTAATTGATTTCTTGTCTCACTAATCAGTCTATAATTATCGGTCTCTTTTTACAAAGTTGTTTCTATCAATAATGAGGAAGTACGTTTGAATAGAATGATAACTGACTGGATATCAGGATTTATTTCACATCAGTCGTTTTTTACTCTAGAGAAAATAATTATATACAGGACATTTATTCCATTGATTGAATCGTGAGCTTTTTCTATAATTGAAACAAGTTTTCAGGTTTGTATTGATGAATTCATTGGATGTAATTAATGGTTATTTCTGTGGCTATAAATGATAGATTATTGCGATAGTTACACTGAATTAATACACTAGTACGTTGCAATGAACTGGGCAACAGATATTGATAATAATGATGATTTGTCTAGAATGGGAACATTAATGTAAAAATGAAATAGAAATAGCCAGATAGTATTAAGTGAAAATAGTATTAAATAAAGATTAAAAATAGAACTGAAACGTCCTCAGATGCGTTTTTACAATTAATTAATACATCTTCAATTAAAATGTTTATGCTATTTATAGCATTTTAAACCAAATGTATTATGTGAGTTTGTACATTGGCATATATATCCAATTCAATAATCCCGTCCAAATCACGTTTCCTCTAACGGAAAATAAATGTACAAACGACGCGCCGTTACTTATAAACAAGGCATGCAGACATAGATCTAATCAACATGTCTTAAGTATACTAGTCAATGAATATCAGCAGTATTAGTATCATTTTTACGTTGCTGTTGTTTTTTTCCTTATTTTTTTTCCTCTCATAGAAAACTGTTTTGAAGATGCAGGTGTACCAATATGCGTAACGCTTTTTATAAATATACATGTAGTGAAAAAGTTACAAAATGTGCTTATTAACACTTCTCTAGCTTCCTTCCCCTCCAAATATACATGTAGTCTTGTCAGCTGGATCTTGTCAAACTGCAAAAATATACAGGTATATATAGCCTAGTCTGAATCACTGTTAGCATATTCATAGAGCAAAATGTCCTTTTCCTAACATATAATACTACAAATTAACTTTTAATCAATGAAGTTGCTATAGAATACTTTGTTCGAAGTTAATTTTAATGATAAATGTAACTTTGAGTAAATATTTGACTTTGAGACAAACATGTTTTTAATTGAGCAGAAATAATTACTTGGTCAATATAGACCTTTCAATTTCCAATAAACTGTCAAGAATGGATGACTAACGAACAAGATCGAACGTGGAATACGATTAGATGATTAAGACTGACATGAAGAACGCATTGATGCTTTGAATGTAAATGGGTTTGGTATTTTAGAAGATCACATTGCAATTGTTTTGTTTACATTTATAGCCTGTAAGGTTACTTGGTGAATTACATTATCACGTTATTAATTTTTTATTGTATTCTAAAATTGCGAGGTTCCGATATCTTATAAGAGTAAAACAGATTTTCTTGTCGAGCCCTTATCACTTCAACAAAAATGCTATAATCGGTAAACCGAATAGATTTGGTCAGTCCTTTAGTATCAATTTAATCGATCAAGTATCTTTTTTGTCCTTTTTTGTTTGTTTTTTTCTTCTTGATTTTTTTGTCTATTTCTTTCTTCAAAATTAAAAAAACTCCAGTGACATAAATTAATCAAGACAAAGTAACTGTTTTGTTTGTTAGACTGTCTGTCTGTCGGTCTGAATTTAAGCCGATTTAAATTACATTTGTGGTCATATATACATGTATCTCTGCGGTCCGTCCTACTAACCGATTTTCCAGGAAAAATAACCAGTATTAACCAATTTTTCTACATATACCTACCATGGCTACTATATAATCTCACCTGATTTCTGATTCAGTGGTACGAACAAATGGCGATAAGACTCATTGTCCGAGATCATCTTTCATCGAGAAAGTTCGCATCGTCCGAAGAACGAATATATACAAGCCGTCAGACTATTATTATAACAAAGCCATTATGAACATTTTATGAGTTGCTGGACCGCTAAGGGCTGCTCAGATACACAAAAGACTGCTAGGGAGTCACAAAGGACCTTAAAATACCTCCTAGGGCATTCTTATAATACAAGGTAGTATTTTTAGTGACAAAAAATGTTTAATTTAAGAAAAAATATCATTTTAGTGATAAAATTTATGTTTTTGAAGAGTTGCCGGACCGCTAAGGACTGCTCAGGTGCACTACCAACTGCTAGGGATGCACAAAGGACCTTAAATCCCTCCTAGAACATTCTTATAATGTATGGTAGTAAGTTAATAGACAAAAATGTATTATTGTAAAAAAAAATATAATTTTAGTGATAGAATTTATGTTTTCGATGATTTGCCGGACCGCTAAGGTGCACAAAGGACTGCTAGGGAGGCACAAAGGACCTTAAAATATTTCCTAGGGAGGCACAAAGGACCTTAAAATACCTGTGAGGGCATTCTTATAATACATGGTAGTATGTTTAGTGATAAAAAATGTATAATGTTTAGAAAAAATATAATTTTAGTGATAGAATTTATGCTTTCGATGAGTTGCCGGACCGCTATGGACCGCTAGGGAGGCACAAAGGGCGTTAAAGGACCTCCAAAGAAATTCTTGTAATATATGGTAGTATGTTTAATGACAAAAAATGTATTACTTTAAGAAAAAATATAATTTTGGTGATAGAATTTATGTTTTCGATGAGTTGCTGGACCACTTAGGACTGCTAAGGGGCACAAAGGACTGCTAGGGAGGCACAAAAGACCTTAAATTAATAATAATTAGAGTGTAATAATTCTATTTAATTTTGTTTAGTGATCTTTCTTTTTTTATGTATTTTGGTGTTGATTATTATGTTTTGGATGAGTAACAGGACTGCATAGGATGTGAAAATTGACTAGGTCTTTAAGTAAATGCTCTTATGTTAAGTGGTAATCAAATGTATAAAGAATATCACTGTAGTGAATGAAATTATATTATGAAGAATTGAAGAAGAACAATTTTAAGTTCAAAGGAAATCAGATGTAATAAATGATCAAATAAATAAATTTACCATGTTACTGGTGCTTATTGATAGTCTAACTATGAAAATGTTACAAAAATTGCCATTTTCTCCGGCAATTATGTAACAGTTGTCTGTAACATCCGTCCCTATCATCAGTATTAAATTTATATGAGCCGCGTCACGACAAAACCAACATAGTGCGTTTGTGACCAGCATGGATCCAGACCAGCCTGCACATCCGCGCAGTCTGATCAGGATCCATGCTGTTCGCTATCAATTTCTCTACTTGTAATAGGGTTTGTAAGCTAACAGCATGGATCCTGATCAGACTGCGCGGATGCGCAGGCTGGTCTGGATCCATACTGGTCGCAAAGCCATTATGTATGCTTAAACATAAATATGTGTACTTGCATTTATTTTGTAATAATAATAACGGCTCGGGTGATATTTTATCTTGGCAGGTAATATATCCACATATATCACTCCAAAACCAAAATAATAATTTTATTACCCTTCCTCTGCCGAGTTTAGAGGATTTTTTAAAAAAAAATCATTGCCGTTTCAAATGAAACGTCGAAATAAGATTCCCTTTAGGGTACCTCTTCATCACAACATGACGTCACATAAATACATGACGTATTTTTCCAGTACCTAACGAATGTAAACAAGAGAAAAGGAGTAGTGTATTGAACACACGTTATTGTAATAATATTAAGCTTTCACATGGTCATATTTGTTTTCAATACTGATGGGAATATGTATCATTACTCTTCTTTGGTAAATATTTATCATTTGACAGTTAAAAAGTGCATGTAAATCGGAATTTACACTGCGTAAAATCGAACCGTACGCGCATCACCTCAGCGCATGTTGTTTACAACGTTGGGTACCCAACGGGGAAATTTAGTGTGTATATTACCCGTCTGGCTCGGTTATATCAATTTCTTTCGGGTGATCAATATCCAATCAAAAAGGCGGAAAACATTTATTACCCTTCCAAATTTTTTCCGCCTTTTTGATTGGATATTGATCACCCGAAAGAAATTGATATTACCTAGCCAGACGGGTAATATACACATTAAATTTCCCCGATGGGTACCCCACGTTGTAAACAACATGCGCCGTGCGATGCGCGTACGGTTAGATTTTACGCGATACAAATTCCGATTTACAAGCACTTTTTAACTTTCAAATGATAAGTATTTACCAAAATAGAATAATGATACATATTCTCATCAGTATTTAAAACAAATATGACCTTGTGAAAGCTTGATATTAATTCAAAAAAGTGCGTTCAGCACACTACTCCTTTTCTCTTGTTTACGTCCGTTATGTTCAAAAGAAAATACGTCATGTATTTATGTGACGTCATGTTATGTTGAAGGGGTATCCTAAAGGGAATCTTATTTCGACGTTTCATTTGAAGTAGCAATGATTTATTTTAAAATCGTCTTAACTCGGCACGGGAAGGGTAATAAAATTATTATTTTGGTTTTGGAGTGATATATGTGGATATATTACCTGCCAAGATAAAATATCACCCTCGCCTAACGGCTCGGGTGATATAAAATCTTGACAGGTAATATATCCACATATATCACTCCAAAACCAAAATAACATATAATATATAGATGTTTTGGTATGTGTTTAAAATCATAAATCATAATTCTATCACCAAAATTATATTTTTTCTTAAAATTATACTTTTTTTTCATTAAACATACAACCATGTATTATGAGAATGACTTAGTCCTTTGTGCCTCC